TCAGTCATTCTGCCACTCGGTTGATCCCCGCATTACGCAGCCGGCACCGTTCCCCCACCTCCCCCCGAACCCCGTTGACATTTCCTTGGCTTTTAGAGCGGCTTCCTTTATAAACTCGAGACTGTGTGTAAAATGCGGATTACAGGCCTATTGAGCTCAGTTTTTCATGTAGTCTAAATTAAGTCCATCGGGCGCTGCTCTTTAGTGAAAGCCTGGAGGAAAAAGAGGGAAGGTGGTAAAAAAAAAAACCAAACAGGGGCTGGAGAAAATAGACCCCGCCAGGAAGGGTCCAATCTTTGAAGTATCCACTGGAGTTATTGTGCCGTTTTAGCGTTTCTTGTCACAGAGGGTTTAAAAGACAAAACTTTTCCAGATACGCAGCGCGTCGTCAGCATTGATCTGCCGCCGACTGCAAACGTCGTCCCCCGTACGTCGTCCCTTCGATCTGAAAGGTCGGATTTGTTGCTGTAAAGCAAAGTAACGCAGAGGCCCATAAAATCCCTGGACCTAAACGGTGAATGAGAGGACGTCTCTCGGAGGCCGCAGCAGGTCACGGGAGGGGAGAAAGCAGCAGGCTTTGTTGGATTTTGCACGGATGGCTCCCTTGAACTCAGCTGTCCCTGAGAATGAGTTACGACCAGTGAGAAACTCAGCGTGCACCACCCACACGGCCGTTGTCCCATTTAAGAATTCTCTATCCAGTTCTCGCTGTTTGTGCGGATCTTGTCGTATTAAAACGAGTCTGCCAACAATTTAGGAAACACAAACTAATTTTAGATTTCCAATTGACTCCCTGGAACACATTTGATTACCAATATGACACGTTGCAACCACCTGCGGTGCAGATGCGTCACGAGTGTGACTAAGTTGGAATTAGAAGTCCAATTAACATGTTGGCAGTTGAGGAAATCATTTCAACCTTTACCAACATCTTTCTATGGTTACACTCGCTTACATTCTTTTCAACAGGATAAAAAGAAAACACACCGACCCTTGACACTGCGGCGGAACCCATCAGGTAGCAGCCTTTTTCAAATCCATCTGCACTAAAGCCACATTGCCTAACTTTAAAAATTGTTCAGCGTAATGGAATGAAAGTGTTAAGCAAGTTTTAAGAGTCCTGAGACTTTCGTAAAGGAATAAATGGAGCTTCAGTCATCGGAAATACACAGTAAAAAATGTTATAAAATGATTTGTGTTTTCACCACCGCATAGTTTACATTCAGGTCACATGACGACCCCCTGAGCCTGATTCAGTGAAAACACACCAAATATCTGCACGTGGTGACTGCAGCATTTTTAAGATATTTTAAATGTTAGGCCTGAGCAAAGAGACGTTGGTTGTTGGCGCCCGTCACAGTCGCCGGCACGCCCTCGCCTACTTAAACGGAGGGAGCGTCACACCCTCCCTCAGCTGGTAAAACGTTGGCCGGTAAAACGTTGAATCCCGACAGTCGAAGGCCGTTCCGGAGAACCTCTGAATCGTTGGACATTTATTTAAGTACATCCCTTACTGGTGCACCGCTGACTGGGATCCCAGCGGAGGACGCCGGCAGGGGGGGGTGTGGGGGGGGTTTGGACGGAGGCGCAGTACACGGTAGCTCTCGACTGACAGGTCTATTACTGCCCACCTCCTCAGCGGGCGGATGTACACCCCTGAGCTGGTAATCATGACTTCCATAACAAGCCCTTCAAGACCCCTGCAGCAAAACATGCACACACACACACACGCACACACACACACACGCACACACACACAAACGCACACACAGACACACGCTTAGTGGTTGATTTATGAGCCCGAGGGCCTGGAGGTGGGAGGCAGCGTCGTCGTCTCCCAGACATGTTGACCAGAGCAAGAGCTATCAAAAGACGACAGGGAGGCGGGCGGCGCTGTAATTAAAGCACTAAATACATTAGGCTGAAAGATCCCACAGTACATCAGCAGCGGATGAGCTGAGAAATGATTTGGGCACTTAGTCCCAAAGCATCTGTGTTAAGGATGATTGCGCAAATGACGGGTGATTCAAGGAAAACTTGATTCATATGGTTCGATGAGAGCTTCTTTGGGTTGTTTCCCATTTGTTGATTTACACTTCTAGATGCTACTTTTGGAGAAAAAGGCAAGGCATTCTTGCACGTACTTGTTACTTTTATCTTTCAGCATTTTTAAAAAAGAAATGACACTAAATGTTTAGTGTACGTCCGCTCGTCTTTTTTTTTGCATAAAAGAATTGCATGACTCTGGTGGGCATTGGTGCGTGAAGTTTACACCTTACTTAAAAAGGACGTTTTTAACTGCCCCTGTTAGCAAAAAGGTCTAAATTTAAGCCATGGATCCTTTTGGTTTTCCAAAGTCGATCGACAGCTCTGATAGCGACATCACCAGAAATCACAAATATTAACTATTTCTCATAGAATTCTATACAATCAGACTTCAGAGACGCCCTCTGATGGCCAGTACAGTGTAAACACGTCAAAGGCACTTCCCCCTCTTAGTATTAAATCAACTGTATATTTAGGGATTTTTTTAACCGTTACTAACGTCAAATGCGTAAAACCAAAAAACGTAAGGAATTAATGTAAAGATCACTGAGTCGCAGCGGTTCAATGATTTGGATCAGGGTTGAACAAAGGTCTGTTGATTATCCACAACGATACGAGGCAGTTGTGTTTATACAGACAGCATCAACCAGAAACCACGTTTTGAAACTTCTCCGTCTTGGGCGAAGTAGGTCCGGTGAGACAGGCGAAAGGACAGAAACGCACACGCTTTATACGTTGCTTAATCTGAGCCTCTTGTCTTTGTATCAACAGCGGTTGGAAAATCCACGCCGTGCCAAACTCTTGTACCTGTGGCCCAGAGGAGGCGACCCCCCCCCCCCCCCCCCCCCCCCCCCACAAGACATCGCCGAATGATTACTGCTTCTGCTCCACGGTTGCTGAAGACAATGGGACACATTGTGCATGCTTTAGAAAGCCTCCGCCTTTATTGACACATGTAAGCCCTGCTGTCCCTCCTGCACTCAACATGTAGAGATAACTTCCTCTGCCGTGACACAAATGAGGATGACACACCCCCCCCACCACCCCCCCACCCACGCCCTCACGCCCGGCCCCCCCTCGCTGACAACCCAAGCGTACGCTAAGCTGACAGGTGAAGGTGTGCAGTGGATGTCTCAGTCGTTGGAGGAGGGCTGGCCAGGGTTGACACCACTCCACTCCCGTGACCCACAGTGAACTGGGTCTGGGAGAAAATAACATGTTTCTCCCATTTAGGGGGGGGGTATTTCACCTCTCCCACACAAATATTAAGCCCGGGGGAGCCGGGCACCCTTTCGAGACTTCAAGAGCGGGGCTTCTTGCAGGCTTGTTCCCCTTTCCTTCCATATCCCCCCCCCCCCCCCCCCCGCCCGCCCCGCCGCCTGGCAGCCCGTGTTTTCTCAAGCATATTTAATAAGAATGGGTTCCTACAGTTAAGGCCGCCACTCTGAACCTGCTCCAAAGGCTTTTCTTATATTAGTTTTAATTTGAGCAGGTGGTGATGATGCGTCATGAGCTCATCACTTCTACATGAGCTGCAAAGCCAATTCTGAAAAGTACAAGTTGAATGTATTCCAAATAAATAGCTACTGTAAATGCAAAAAGTTGGTAGCATTACTTCTCATGAACCTAATACATATTTCTTGTGTTTTGTGAACCGGTTAAAAGTAGTTACCCAATATTTAAGCAAAAGGGAAAATTAGAAGCTAATGACAGATACAAACTGAAAGTATAGCATTCTTTGTAGGAATCAATGAGGGAATTGCATGGTTTAATTTACACTATATACAGATTTCTGTAACTGGCATAACTGTATTTTAAGTTTGATTGCGTGGTGCCCTGTAGCCCTTCCAAAAACGTTCACGTCTAATGCTTTCATTCTTGTAATTGAAAAGCACATTTACCAAAAGAATTCATCAGTTTTCTTGTTGGTCTCAGAATTATAAAGAGACCCCCTTCGTATGGTTCCCGATGAGTGCCCTAAATTTAAATTTCATTTTAAACCAAATTCACGTCATATAGTGTATGTACATAATGACGATGATGTAATCACGCTCACTGATTGTGCTGAAATAATAAGAGGAAAATAACATTTTTTTATACTTTTCTTTAGAAATGTGTGAGAAGTTACGTTTTCTGTTTTCTATACCCAATCACGGCACCGCGGGAAACAAAAAAAGCGCATAAAAACAGTTGCACAGGATCTCCTCCAATCCCAGGTAGGAACAGTCAGAGGTCAATCGGGCAGGTCGCCGCTTGGTGTCGTGCAGAAATGGGAGGATCTGACAGCAGTGCTTCCTATAGATTCCAGCACAGAGCTCGGCATGTGCTTGTTGAACTAAAGCCACTCACTTGTAACCTCGGTTCAAATCTGCACGTTTCGACTACCTGCGATGGTCACGTGAGTCAAATAATACTTCCAAGAAGTGATGGAGCCTCACACCAAACAAAGCATACTTGGATTGTTTACACAAGGCGTTGAAGAACAGTACACATCACTCACTGCAGACCCGAGCTGTTTGCTCTACAAGCCATCCATGCCCGGTATCGGGCACTAAAAATACACTTCAGGCTCGCGGAGGCTTTTCAAGTCCTCTTGTTCGCTCGAGAGATAAAGATGATAAACACTAAATGCTAAAATGCTTTGTTCTCTCTAACTGTGATTCATGGCAAACTTTGACTGCAGCTAATAGATCTTTAGGAGCTCCCTGGGTAATGGGTCGACCTGAACCTCAACCTGCCTCTTCTACTCCAACTTTTTGATTTGCAGACTCTTAGAAGGACTCAACAGTACATCTGATCGGGAGAGGCTTTCATTTGTTGATGAATACTTTTATTAGAGACACACCAAAATTGATGTGTTTTTTGATTTGGGTTTGCATGTGTAGAAAATGTCAAATCAGTAAGATGTATGTGACGTTTACTGACCAAAAGTACTTGCACCAAATAACACCAAGTGGAATTTAAAGGATGTTTGTTTTATTAGGTGTATTTAAATACGTAAACACACACTTGTATATAGTAAAAATGATTGTACACAAACTTAAAAAAAAAAACTCCAAACGAATTGAGCAAAATAACGTTATTTACATCAGAAAAATACTGCACTTTTTATATGAAACAATAACAAACAAAAATAAATCTGTGTAGTTCAAAGAGTGAAACTCTTTAATTACAATTCTTTGCGAGGGGAAAAAAACGAGAAAAGAAAAGAGAAGACAGTGTTTTGTCAAAGCAAGTTTAAAATACTGTTTGGGGTACTCATGCAATGTCTGCAGGCTGAATAGGTCTGATATTTTAAGAGTCGCCGTACATCTTTGGCACTGGTAATAATTTATACCCTCTGAGAGTCTCTGACAGACTCTGAGTCTTAGTGTCCTTGTGGCAGAAAGTAGAGTCCTCCTAATTCCAAAGGAAGGGGGAAAAAGATCAGGGACAGCAGTAACATTATACATACAAACTATTTTAATCCAATTTAAAACAGCAGTTAAAAATACTGTTTTACACCCTATATATATATATATATATATATATATATATATATGTATATACATATATATATGTATATATGTATATATATTTCTATATATAGTATATATATATATACATCAATATATATATATCAATATGTATATATTGTATATACTGTACATCACTCCTCCGTACTGTTGATATATATCTGAAAGACCATATATTTTAAACTTTATACACATTTCTACAGTATGTTACAGTGGCGTAGCAGAAATATTGTTTTTCTTTTCAGATCGAAAAATAAAAAATGCAAGCTTTACTAACCAAATCATGAAATATGTACGCCTTAAAGCAGTGCAGAGGACCTCCACAATGAACATAGAAGTGCTCTTTAAAACTTTACAACTCTGTCTCCAAAAATGGAATATTTGTAATCAAAACTGACATTAAAAAATACACTTGATAGTTCTTTTATAAACACTTTAAAAGCTTTCCTCTGAGACCGACAAGGCACTGCAGCCGTTGAATATGATCTAGTTTTGGCGTTGAAGTGATTTACAACACATATAAATACATAGAGACACCACATTAAGGCAAATCTTGATATTTTGGCACATGCACTTTGTGAGGCAGCTTGGAAGATCGTCGGTGAGTTTAATCGCTCATGGTTGCACCACGAGGTTAGGCAGCGATGTGACTGACCTGACCTTCCATTTGACAGATTTACACTCCTTAAACAGGGTGCAGCTAATATACACGTCCTAAAGGCCCAATGCTTACCGGTGTCTTTGCATTTTAGCTCTTGGTGCGGTACATTTTCTAATACAAAATGAACTAAAAAAAAAAAAGGCTTCGTTAGGTAAAGATTGGACTCCAGCAATACGTTTTCCAGGCAACTTGTTAAAGCAAATGGCTCTTAACACCAAACGGGCTTCTTACAGTGATCCTGAGGCACGATTAGTTTTCAGGTTGGCGTCAGTCTTTTTGTCATTTTGTTCTTGCTTAACTGGCCGAATGCGTCTCAGACGGCACCCGGAGCGGCAGCTCTCGCTCGGCCTCCTCCATCGCCGCGGCGCTGCGAGGCGCCGAGCTGAGATCCTGGGGTTCCAGCTGAGACGGCTCTCCTCCGCCAGCCGGCGCGGCTTCCTTCGTCGCCATCCTCATCCGATCCTCTTCCTCCACCTTCATCCTTTGCTCTTCGGCCTCTATTTCTTCCGTGGTGGGGATGGAGTTCTTCTTAGGTCTTCCCTTGGGCTTAGTCGGGGCCTCATGACCTCCTTTGAGCACCTAGAATAACACACAGACAATCTTAGTGGGGTGGTAATAAATGGCAGCAGCAGTCAGAGGCAAAAGCTGGCTATTATAGTAATTACGAGAAGATGTATTGCTGCTGGCTGCTCCTTGTGCACTCATTTATCTTTAATGATTTCAGCTCCTTTTTGTTCTCTGAGTTGTTGACCCTTGTACAAAAGTGTTTGCTCTCCCTGCCGTCATCATCGCTCACGCCTCACGCCACACCCTCTCTCCCTGTCACACTGCTACCTCGCTGTTAAAGCACCAAAAATGAAAGCGCCGTTTTTTTGTAACTGAAGACTTAGCAGGAGTATTCCTTCCTACTAACCAAACCCCGGCCGGCGTTACTGCGTCTCTTACCATTTTCTTCCACTTCATACGCCTGTTTTGGTACCACGTCTTCACCTGGAGCTGTGTGAGTCCCAGCGACTGGGCCAGGTCTAACCTGCAGAGTCACACGCAAAACAAAAGCAGCGTGTTAGACGGACGTTTTTTGTCTGTGATGCAGAAGACAAAGAAATCTGCACGTTTCCCAGTAGCAGCAGGTAATATCCGTCTCAGCCTGGACAGGAAAGTCAGAGAAATCATAAGAATCTTCACACCAAATGTGGTTTAAACGTTTCCACCAAACATATAATGCAGCTTCATGCTGGCATTGCGCGTCCGAGCTGAGTGTAAGGCCTCTCTGAGACTCTTAACTCGCTCTCTGAATCTCACATCAAAGCCGATCTGCTGGTAGCTGGAGTTTGACACTGTACACCTGCAGCTCGGGGAAACGCCGCTTGCATTGAAACATCTGCACCGAGGTCAGTAATCCAAACACGGCGACTGTGCAGTATAGGTGGTGTTTGGGAGGAAATGGTGAATGCATCCACCACATGTGTTGATCCATGACTAATAGGGCTATTGGACGGTGTGTAATGTGATAGCTCAGGAAGGGACGGATGAAGCGAACACGGGTTTCATTTATGAAGGAAAGGAGCAATTATCGAGATTGTTTTTCTTTTTTTAAATGAGATTTCCTTTTCTTTACACTTCTGCCTTAAGCAGCCAGATGAAGGGACCCCCCCCCCCCTCCCGGACGGAGAAGAATCGAAAAAGCAGAGCAGCATTATTTGCGGGATCTACGGCATAACTCAATACCCTTGCATGAAGAGCGAGTGGGTGGTTTTTTTTTTTTTAGCGTGTGTGTACGTATCAACACTTGAAAGGACACACCGCGATGTCTGTCATACGTCTCTAGCATGCAAGCCACAGTCTGCAACAGCTCACAACTTGAGGTAAGGAAAAGTAATTGCAGAGGAGGAAAACACCCCCAATTATTTATGGTCATTAGTTCTCAATGGATGAAACGACACACTCAGAGCAACAGAAGCAGTAAACGAGGCTACTGCAAGCATTTCGTTCCATTCTTTTTCACAATGTCGACAGTAAAGATTACTGGGACATTAACGCCATACGATATAAACAATTAAGTATTTTATCAGGGATATTCTTGGTTTGGTTTCCTTCCGCCCCCGACTGTGTCTCAGTTCAAAGCCGCAGAGGTTCCAAAGGAGGGAAAAGAGAAGTTATCTTTGGATCACAACACACCAAAGTGGGGAGCATGCCACACCTTTGATGCGGGGCTTGAAAGCAGGATTTTCTCTGTTGTTTATTCCGCCAGATGTGTATTTAATTAATTTTCAATAGCGTCACAATCAGATATTTTGACAGGGCAGAGTATTTTGGCACAGCCCTTTGTACCGGGTTGATGGTTTTGATCGCTGCGTTGTGCTCAGCCTCGGGGCTTCTGTGTTGTGTTCCGATCTCTGCTTGATGCAAATGTTCACAAGCATTTTGAAATTCCTAACGCGCATGTGACGGAAAGCATACATGGTTATATATGTATATAAATTCAGCCTGCAGGCTTCGTGTAAAACTGAGGCTTACAATAAAACTGGAAAATAAAGTCTAACCTCATGTGAGGTCCCAGAAATGACCCACAAAATGGAACAGATATTAGCATCTAGATTACTTCATCTGGTTTCACAAATGCCCTTTCTATACACCTGCACATGTGCGAGATGATTGGCAGTAAATCACTGTAGTACATTTCTGTTTGCGTTTGTTGGCACCCGTCCCTGCCTTCTTGAATGAGGCAGTGTGTCTTTGATGGGGCTTTTTGCAACTGCTTTGCTGCTGCCCAGGGTTAAAACGCTGCTCTTGTCTCGACTAGAACGCTGAGGTAATGCGCAAATGCACATAACATGAGATATTCCTTGCAGCGCAGATGAAAAAAATCGCTGATGTTCGGTGAACCGATGATTGATAATTGGAGTTGAGTGAGCGTACGTAGCGCAAACCACACCGGGCGCGGCAGGTTACCGAAACGCCGCGGCTGAGCGACGCGTGTACGGCTGACTGAAGTTCGGTTGAAATGCAATAATTGCGGAGGGTAATATTTGCCATTCATGCACCGGCGCGTCTCTTCCTCTGAAGTAACTTTGTCACAAATCCGTTTACCATCACGCGTTCACGCGTGCGTGCGCGCTCGTGCGCCGGTCGGTTCGTGCTTTTCTCGAAGCGACGGTATACCCACCGATCGGGTGTGGACAGGTACTTCTGCTTCTGGAACTTCTTCTCCAGGCCCATGAGCTGCAGCTCGGTGAAGATGGTGCGGCTGCGGCGCGGCTTCTTCAGGCGCGGCGTGCCGCGCTCCGCCTCCGACTCGCTGCTGACGCTGAGGGGCGTCCGGCTCGGCGAGGCCTCGGAGCCCCGCGGGTGCTGCAGGGAGAGCGGGTGCGGCGGCGCTCCGACCGGGGACGGCGGCCCGGGGAGGTGGAGGGGCAGGTTGGGGGGCTGCCGCGTGATGACCGAGAGGAGGGGGTAGGCGCGGAGCGACGAGGGGCCTGCAGGGGGGGGGGGGGAGACAGAGCGCGTCAGGTGACAGAAACATTAAGACATCTTTCACCTTGTGTTGTACCGTTATCGATCGCCGGTAATTGCATAAGACGGGTTCATCTGTGAGTGACCCGCGTGTGCTGTGAAAAGCGTTTGGCTTTTGACCCCCAGCATGTCGGGCCGCGACCCCAGTGACGCAGACTGTGTTTTACACGGCTGCCCTGAACCCTTCGAATGAATGATTATTTTCCAGCGGTTGTTAAATAATAAACCGGCTTCCCTGCACAAAAACCATGTCCGGACGTTATGATGTGCACGCAGGCAGACAGATGCAGTAATAAAATCCTGCAAAACTAAATCAAACACTGTGTAATAAACGTCTCTCTCTTACACACACACATGCATACATACACGGGGACATTTTTGTCTTTATCAGCACAGACGGAAGCAGCAAGACGCCAGAATCATTAAAAAGTAACACTTGTCTGGAGCCAAGGTGGGAGGAAAGGAGGCCAGGAGGTCGGTCGAGGAGATGCAGCGGGTCAAACAAAGTGAATAAAGTATTTGCCAGAAAAAGTCCTCATGGCTTTAAATATACAATCGAACCGCTCACGAACATTTACAAGCCACTGAAGCCACTATCGCACTGATAAGGAGGACACAATCTTTCCTTAATCTCGACAACCTAAAAGCCCGCAGGAGGCAACTACCCAGAAGCCACTTTGATTTTCTTTGTTGCCGTTCCTTGATTGATTTCTGACTAGGCGGGGAAACACGTTGGCTACAGATATGACAAGGAGGAACACCGAAGAGGAAACGGACGAAGACGACTCCACGAGAGGAGGATGAGGAAAAAGGAGACAAGGACTCAAGGGTTTTTCTAACCTTTAGTGTACACGAATGCAGGTACACATATAGACTGCACACACACACACACACACACACACCAGTTCACCCTCAGGTACAGGCACAGTTGCTCCTCACTCATGCACAGACACACACCAGACACTGCCTCGGGCTCACCATGACATCATGTTGAGGGGTTGAGGTCATCGCTAATCCTCCAACCTGAGATTGCTGCTGTTGCAACAGGTCTAGACAAGAAGACTTCTTCTCTTTCGCTGCACTCGCTCGCTCCCCATTTACACATTTCCATTTATGTGGCCCCTGCGTTTTTTTCCCCTCCGTAATCAGCCGATTTCAAGTGATACATTTTCCGATCTCGCCGCCGGCATCGTCTGATTCCACGTTGACGTGCATCGAATTGGGTGCACGAGTGAAGGGAGAGGGTGATACCGAGTGAGCCCGGGAGGAAATGTCTTGTCAACAGAGAGCCTGAAGTTGTCTCCGGACCGTCCCTCAGAAGGAGGAGAGACAGAGACAGAGAGCCAACAGGGGAATGTCAGCCGTCGTGACTTTCCACTGACAAGCGACGCCGTCGCACTGACGCGCTGTTGACAAGCGCCCGCCTCGCCGTCAATAGGCCACAAATAAACTGTTCGAGTAGCCGCACCACCAACAGGCACGGCGATACGCTTGATAATCACAGCCCCGGAATGTGAGGGCCGGGACCACTGCCCCCCCCCCCCCCCCGTTCGGAATAGATCAAGAGCTTTTGTTATGAATTCCTTTCGATACCAACAATTTGCTCGATTGATCGCGTGGTGATTTGGACGCGAGCCCCGTCGATATCTGCTGCTTTCAGCCGCCTGCTTTTGTCAATGGGATGCCGAGAAAAGGGGGATGATTCATTGCTGAGCTATGACAAGGGTGCGAGAATATTTGTCATGTTTAAAGAAAATAAACTGGTGACAGGTAGACAGCTGCTCAATTAAACAGGGTTATTCTTTTGGTTTTGTTTTGTAAGCCGGGGCCCCTTTGAGTGCAAATCCAACTCGCTGGGTGGGAAGGGCAACAGGCCACACAGCTTCTTCATCTGCCCTAACTCACCTCACTCTTTTTTAAAAAGTGTTTTACCTTCAACTGACAATAAAGGACAGAACTGGGCGATTTCACGCTGATTATTAGATGGAGGGTTTTTTTTTTTCCATTGAGTTTTGTTGTCAGCTTTTGTCCTCAGGCATGCTGACAAACTGGAGGGTCCCGCCAAGCGTTACATGAAACACAGGCATTAACTATTTAATTCCGAAACCTGATCCGCACGTCTTCCAGGCAGCTGAATTGAGCCGGTTCCACTTTTAGAACTGATTTATTACTGATCCTTTGTGTAGATAGAAAAACAACCTGATTGCAGGTTGCGGCGCAGGGGGGTAGGGGGAGGGGGGGGGGGGGGACAGTGACGGCTTGTCCGACATTATCCCCAACGGAAGGTGGTAGATCTTCGCTCATTTCGTCTTTGTGTGTGTGTGTGTGTGTGTGTGTGTGTGTGTGTGTGCATACTTGCCCTTGTGTGTGTTGACATGGGTGTAATCAACCTTCTCAAGGAGGCTTTGTGCTTAATGGGATACGGCATTGTCTGCGGCGGATTAGGGTTTAAAATGGGATGAAAAGTCTTTTGCTCACTGGGATTTCTGCTGCCAGTAGGAAACCAGTATGCAGCGGCCCTTGGGCTCCGCACACTCATGCTTTTTGTCATTTTTTTTCATCATGCTGTCAAGTCAGATTACCCCACAGTTGATCTTAATCTCTCTCACCTCTTGCAGAAAGCACCACTAAAAGCCCTACCCTGGGTCCCGCTGAGAGACGGGACTCCCAATGAAATATTGTACCCTGCCATGACGTCTTTTCGGCGTTCAGCACCGGGTCAGGGCTCACTGTCTCTGACCCCGCTCTATCTGACAGGGAGTCATTTCCTCGCGTATGAGCCACTTAAACCGTGCAACATTACGCCCTGAACGTCACTTCAGAGAAACACAATTACACCCAGATTCTAAGTATGAATGTCCCGAGAAAGAAAACAGGAAGACAATTAGGTCGGCATGAGTGAATGGCATACCAGTGACAAACACTGCACAACAAACAATTAATTGCGTCGTCAAGTCCGCATGGGCGGCGTGATCGGCGGCCTTCCGCGTGGCGGCGCGGTGGCCACAGCATCCCTCCTCCTGCAGGACGGAGGAGGCACGACTTCCTCAGGGGGCCGCGGAGGAGCCGATCGCCGCTCTTTTGTCCCTGCCCCCCCCTCCCCCCCGACGACTTCCATATCCAGGCAGTGAAAGCCATTGATGTGAGGGAATATACTGTGTCTCACACCCGCCCCCGCCCCCCCTGCAGCTACAAATAAGTGGTGGGCACAGTGTTCTGATATGCAGGGCGGGTCACTCTATCCATCCCAACAGAGGGGTGCCAGAGCCCAGTCACGGTGCCCCCCCCACCACCGCCCCCCCCCGTCCTCGCACACAGCAATCCATATCAGAGGGATGAGAGAATCGCTCCCCCTATTTTTATCCACCCGCCGCTGTCATCATCAAATTGCAGTGGCTATCGTTTCAGACGTTGGAGCAATTATGCTAATGGTTACTACGGCGTACGGTAGCCTTTACGTTTGTTTTTGGATTCAGCCCGAGTCCGAATCAGAATCCATCAGGACGTTTCGTTTCGACAGCGTAACATCCGACTGAGCGTTGTCATATTTTGGACATCGTCAGCAAGCACAAGAGCCACAAGGCCGTAAAGTCCAGCCATCGCGGTTATTGATCTCGTGTTCTTGTTGAAGGGGAATAGTGAGAAACACTTAATTGATGAAGATTTGCCCGAAGAGGGACGATCGTTCAAATGAATCGGCTTCAAAGTGTAATAAATTCACCAATGGTATATTCCATATTTCCTTCTGATGAGAAGATGTGTGCAGTATCGTTTATGTTTCATAGGGTGGCAGGACCACAACCACACGAAAACAATCCCTTCATGGGGGGGGGCACAACTTTACTTTGTCCGAGGTCACACACATTTCTAATTAAGGGGAGGCCTTTAAACAGAATAACAGAGTCAATCAAATGAAAACGGCAAATAGAGAACGTTTTCAAGCTCAGCAACTATTGGTCCACTGCCACTGGAGTGACCTTTGTGCGTAAAACAAGCCATCAATTCAGCCATTCAGCGGCTCAACAAAAACCTCCAAGCATCACTGACATTTCCCCGCTCTGTACTTTGACTTTCAACACTTAGCCGCAGTGATGTATTGTGTGGAGGAACGTGGTGCAACTTGTGGAGGAAGCAGAAAATTAATAGTGATTCATTTTTTTAAATGTCTGCTTCCAAAAAATAAAAACATCAAATACGTCTGTTTACTTTGAAGCGATGGAATTGAGAATGAATGATGATTTATAACTGAATATTGAATATGCTCAGTTGATTGGACAGGTAATTATGATTTTTTAAAATTTGATTTGGCCTCATATTATTACACCAGCATCACACACTTCACACAAACTACATCTCACCAAACTCTGCACTGTAAATGCACCATTCAAATCCATCACACTTCGAGTTGCACAAAACACGTCTCGATATCCGAGAAAGAAGTTTCTAAATAACCTCCTTTCATTTTCGCACCAATCTTGCAAGTGATTTAATGATTTATCTAAAATGAGTGATAACAACAACAACAACAACAACAACATTAACAAACGCGTCCTCTTACCCGAGCATGAATGGAGGGGCTTCGGCCGCACGACGAGCGACGGGCACACCGAATACAGAGAGAGTTTCTCAAAGTAATCACACGTCTCCTTGGAGAGGATCTCGTCGATCATGAACGTCTTGTAGCGCCGCCTGGCCGCCTTGAGCTGCCCGGGGGAGGAGAGCCTCAGCTCGGCTTGACAGTGCATGATCCGTCCCTGACGCGCCGTGCGCTATATCTTCGCTGCGCAATTATGCTTTTTTTTTTTGGGTGGGAAGAGGGTGGGAGGGAGGCGGAAGGGGGGGAGGTGGGGTACAGATATCTCTGCGGGTTTTCACCGTGCGACCGTGGAGCAGTTCACGCGTTCGGACAGTGCATCGTTCGTCTCTCCCTGAGGCCGGCCGGGGTGATGGGGGGGTCGATCCGCGCGCGGCGCCACGGCGGAAACCAAGTGAGTGCGACGTGCGCGCACCGCCTGTGCTATATAAACCATCCCTGAAGTCATCCGCTGCTCTCTCCCTCCCTCCCTCCCTCTCTCTCTCTCGCTCTCTCTGTCTCTCCCTCCCTCTCTCTCTCACCCCCCATCTCTCTCGTGTAACCTGTGTATGCAACCCCCCCCACACACACACTCCGCAAAAAGTTTTATACTACATATTAGTTCTACAACTCGACTCTAAATTACGTCTAATTTAGGTCATATTTTCAAAATAAAAACTAAGCCATTGATCAACATAAATGGGATATTAAATGTTAAAAATAGTGCTAATATTTAAAGTCTAAATTCGATCTGAAGACCACGGCTGTCTGAAGTCTTTCGAGGGAAAACAAACTATATATACTATTTTAGTTTATTTATTTCAGGACTTATAGTGTCCCACTTTCATTTCATGTAAAACCTGTTTGATCTGAAATTTGCTTCATATAAAAGCGATGTCTTGATTTCGGAATGGGACTAAACGGGTTGAATAATAGTCTGGATGTTATTAACCCCTCAATGGGTTCTGCTGTGATGTCGATTTAGTTAAATGAAATGTAAAAACAACTGTGGAATATTTCTTCTTTTTTTTAATCCAATTTTCTATTTCTGTTAATAAAAAAATGTATGGCGAAATAAGGGAATCCCTGTTGAAATAGAATGATTCTTATTAAGGAACAAGTTCCGAAGTGAGAGATTAAAACACAAGAAGTCAACAACGCGACTGTCTTTAATTACTTCCTAAATACAATGTTATTAATTAACAAAAAAGACTCAACGGTCTTAAATAAAATGTACCTGTCCTTGTGCGAGTTTTGACAAAAATAATTCATATCTCTAACGGTCAACAATTGTATTTAAATATATTTATGAATAGAATTGTCGGTCAGATAAATCTAGACCCCAGAAGATGTAAGTTTATCATGTGTACGTTTTATTCTCTCGACGGGATCAGACAGAAGCCTGTTGTGCCTTTTCCACCGTTTCATTTCAAATGTTAACGTTCTGCTTTATGCTGATAATATATTTGTTTATTGTTAAGTAGCCACGTGGCCTTTTTCTCCTTTTTAACAAACTACACATTGCAGCGTAATTTAACTAAAATATAAGCAAGAAATGAACTCCATGTTAAGAAACCTAAGTGCAGGAAGGAACTTGAGGATCCTAAAATGATCATCTGAAGAATCATGGACGCGATTGATCCGACGGCGCCGTGTTCCGCGCGCAGGAGGACACGTGGAGGTCCGGAGGGCTCGGTTCTCTCCACAGATCAGATGGCTTGATCAAAAGGGGGGGGTGAACAACTGCTTCGGAGCCTATTTGACCGAAAAATAATAAAATAATTTCAACTATAATATTTCTTGTAAGAAGTGCTGCTTTCCTAATTTATGTGCGTCGCTTTCAGGTGTTTAAAATAAAAAAAGAAAACAGGAGTAGTCAATTTAAATGCATTTATTGATTCCATGATTTGTTGAGCCCCCCCCCCCCCCCTACGTGTCTCAGGGGCTCCAGTGAACCCAGAGACCCGAGGTGGGGGGGCAGAGACCCGGGAAGCTCGGCCTGCAGGCGTCTTGTCGCTTGTGGTTCTCTTTGCGGGACTTGCTACATAGAGCGACTGTGTGTGTGTGTGTGTGTGTGTGTGTGTGTGTGTGTGTGTGTGTGTGTGTGTGTGTGTAGGGGGTGGGGGGGGGGGTCTCTCTGGGTGTTTGGAAGTGGATCATTTCAGCAGACACGCTTCTATATAAGTCCACCCGGCAGCGGCTACCGCGCGGCCTCTCTAATCCGCCCGCTCCGGGGCGGGAGACGCCAGGCGGATCAACCAATTACACGAGTTATGGCGAGGAAGCGGCCTCCTAGCGGCGGATGCTCTCCGTTAGGGCGCCACGGGGACGGGCACACCGCGCTGAAACGCACCTCAGATTTATTGGCAGAGGGGGGGGGGCGCTGGTAGTTGTCGATAAGCGCTTTAGGAGGGGTAGATTAGAACCTCCACGCGGACATTAAGGGATTGGATGTTCACTTGGTTTTAAACTGGTCCCAACAGAGGCACTGGGGGGGGGGGGGGGGGGGGGGCATTAGTGCTGTGAGGCTGACGGCCAAACGAGATGTTCCGGATCAAAGTGCTGCTGCTGATTATGGGATGGGACGCTTCTGTTACACGGGGACAAAAAAAAACAAAAAACAACCTGTGCTAAGACTCTGCTGATGAAAGAAAACAGCACGGCCCGGTTCCATCGTAAGGGGCCTGCAAGCTGTAAAGTGAACAGGGGGAAGTGTGAAATCCACGCAAAGACTTGAAAGCATCGGAAATAGAAGGGTCAAATGCAGGAGCTGATCGTGTGGCTCGGTTATATTTAACAGCTTAATTGATTCAATAAAAGGATGTGTGTGGCGCCACCTGTAGATTACTTCATAACCCGCTGCACAAGTGTATTAGTTACACGGGAGCCATTTATAGGTGCAAATAAGGCCGTGGGTGCATGCATTACAGCATGTAGCATCAACATACAACGGCTCACGTAGTGCACACACACACACACACACACGCACAGTGCCTAGAGGAAAGACAATGCAACAATCAAAATGAAAGGGGCTTTATAATGATGACAATGGTCCATTTTAAAACAGTCAGTCTTAGACTCAGAATAAAAAAATTGAATTAAAGCCCATTTTCTACAAAGAGCAAGGTGAGCCGATCTAACATTAAGAAAGGATGGTGACCTAATGCCGTAAAAAGTGGTGCTGGTGGAAAGTTAGCTGGGAATTCTGTAACTATTGCAAAGTACCTGAAGAATTTCTGACAGCCCCGTCTCAATAGCTTTTAAACATAAAACCCCCAATGTTCTAAATCCTTTTGTTTTTTTGAATACATTTTTTCTTCTTCTTCTTCCCAAATGACCATCAGTCATATCGGTTTTGTTTTCTTGCTCCTATCACCACAGCTCAAAAGTATTTTGACATCCGTGAGGAAAAAACTCACATAAAAGAATTGTACAAATTTTAAAATGCCATAAAAGTAAAAACCCAAATGTCTCCAAGGCATAAGGTTATCAAATGTCCCAATGTGTAGCATCATGTACAAACAACCTGAGCATACATGTCTTTTTTTTCCCCCTCTTTTTCGTAAGCGGTCCACAGAGGTGTGAAGAACTAAAGTCTCTACGTGTCTCACTACCGTCGCCACCGATTATCTTGGTAGCCACGGTTGGTTCCCTTATCGTCGTGGTGTCTGTTGCCACCTCGGTTGTCGTGGTGACGGTTGCCGCTCCTGTCGTTCGGATAGTGATGGCCGTCCCGGCCGTGGCCGTGCTGCGGATAGCGGCTGGGGGTCGCCTCCTCCGCGTAGCGCGGATTCCTGCCTCGGCTGTTCACGTGCGGCGAGTGCCGATAGTGGGCGTTATCGTGCTGCCTCGAGCCCCCCCCGCCAGAGTTACCGCCCGCAGGTAGCTGCCTCTTCGAGAAGCTGTCATTCAGCTGCTCAAGCTGCTGCATCTGGAGCCACATCATGTTGTTCTACGGGGGGAAAAAAAAAAGTACTTTTTTTAGTTTGCAACCCTGGCATAATTTAGCAATAAACGGAAAAGAAAGAAAAATGTTACCATGACGTGCTTCTGGAGATTATCGGGAGAGGAAAAGGACCGCTGCATTTGGATCGGAGGAGTATACGGAGGAGAATTGAAGTGGTTCGGGGTCCTGTAAGAGTTAAGCAAACCAATGTCAAACATCGCATCACAAAACAGACAGAACAACAAGGAGTCAGGTGCACATTCCACACATTGACGACCGCCTACCTGTACAAAAGCAATCGGATCGTTGAAATGAAGCTATATTTAATAGATGTTTGACCACATGCTTTGACCACATTTCACCTCTTCACCGCATTAAAGGATAGGTTGTGTGTTTTGACTATGTCCTTGTGGTTTTCAATAAGTGTGATCCAACCACACCAGAGGACAAACATTTCTTAGCATCCCGGGCGCAGTACGATCACTCATGACGTAAAGCCTCAATCTTAAATCATTTAAGCACCACGATGTACAAGTCTTGAAACGTGGAAGCAGCGTATTCGATCATATATGGGGAAAAAAAAAAACAGTCAGTGGGATTTGACTTTAAGACTGGTTTAACGGGCATGTTTTACATAATTAACCTTACACTGCAGTTAAAAAAAAACTGAAAAGAAACGTTCAGCTGCTACAGCTGTTCAGATAGCTTGAAACAGACAGCGCTGTGGTTCTGCTGTTGCTACAACAAACCAACACAGATGCATTCGACTCCATCTAGTCCAGTTTGTATTGAATACCCAAACTCAAAATTGGCAGCCCAAAGTTAAGATAAAACTCCTGTCAGCAATGTGATGACAAAGCAACAGGTGACTTCGACAATAACCAACCGTTGAGACAATCTTACCTCTGGCCATGCGGATTGGGGTTATTTGCAGGACTTGTATTCTGTGAGTTCCCTGGACTGCTGCCGTGACTGCTACCTACAATGAGACAAAAGGAAAAACGGTTCAAGGACACATCAAGTCCAGTTGGTAATAAACTAGTACAATTGTTTACTTTTAAGTCAGCAGACTGCAAAGTTGCATCACCAGCCACTGAGACATGGCCAATATTCTGATTGACAGGAACATTTAATGCATGTTTTAACCCTATTACACTTAAATCACTCAAAAGGCAGCGAGAATTCACGCTGTGTGTTGTATCATAATATACATTGTTAAAATATTCCTAAAACTCAGCTCACCCCAGCCCCATCCTGACAGGCCACACAATTAAAATGTTTAATTAAATGTTTTTTTTATTTTATTTCTACAAACCAAGACGACAGTCCTCACATCACCTTTACAGGTAACAGAAGGAAATCCTTTTGTGACGCTTAGCTGACGGAATGTTTTCACCCGGATGGTTAGAAGACTCTTTGAAAGGACTTCGAAGATATGGTCAGGAGACTTTTTCAAGACCGTGGCTTCACCCCCCCCCCAACACGCCTGCCAGGGTCACTGTTAAAAAGTTCCCCGTTTGTTTCTGACCTGATCGGAACTGCACGTGAATGGTTCTCCCGAACAGCGACGTCCCGTCGAGTAGTTGCATGGCGTACGGCACGGACACTTCGTGTTTGTAGACAGCAAAACCGAATGTTTTCTGTTTCCCATCCGGGTCTTTGGGAATTTTAGTTTTGATGAGAGGCCCCGCCTGCAAAAGGAAAAAACAAACAAGTAGACGCTAATGACGTTAACGTCAACGAAGCAGCAGCTAACGTTAGCTAAGGCTAACTCCCGCATTGCAAATATCAAAAAGGTACGTGCGCACCACAAACATTGGTAATATCACACACACGTCTACAATAATTGTAAAAGAGCATACCGTTTAACGGTTTAATATTTGTAACTGACCAGCTTCCAATCTGTTAGCATGTTGCTCGGAATGCTATCTGTTGACTTTACGATTGCTAGCTAACATAAAAAAATGTAAGCGACAACCGCACCTGCACAAACAGCTCGAACAAAAGCTCCTCCGACACTTTTGTATCCAAATTCCTTATGAAGAGCGTCCGGTCCGCTTCCTCCTCTATTCCCATTTTGTTTGAGCAGATACTCGCTCTCTCAAGCAACAGGAATGCTAACGTCTAGCGTAAAAAAAAAAGCGCTGTGACAAATATAGCCGGAAGGCCCAGGGGCCGCAAAGGGAACTGCCGTTAAACACACGCTTCTGTCGTAGTGAACAGCGGTGGCTTTACGACACATATGTCAATCAAAGATAGAAGTGGTCCTTTGCTTGGATGATAACTGCTGCTTATCTGCGTAAACATAAATGCAAATATGTTTCTAATAGAAATGTGTGAAAATTGCAATGTTTTATATTTGGGGTACACTGTTTTTTTAAGCTCCTGCAGCATAGTAACACAAACATAAGCATTGTACCGTATATAAAAACGACACAGAACAGAAGAGCTGTTGGTACGTAACATGCAATTAAATACCCATTCTAGCATTCTGTTTACAACCAGAAAAAGATGCCATGTTCCATCGCATTTTGAATTGCATGCTTCTTCTCTTTTCTTTTAGTAAACACTGCAGCAGCCTTTCCAAAAAGATGAACTGAACAGATAAATCAATCACCAATTGTTGCTTTCTGCCAATTCACTGATCTATTGATCACTAATCGGTTCCTTTCTACATGCTGTATTACTCTTCCGGTCTGCTTTATTGTTTTTATCATCATGTGTCTTGTCATAGAAAGGAAAAGCACAAATATGACTTTAGCAATAACTGCGTCTCAATTAGCTTTGACAGTGTGACTCTGAGTCAGTACAGAAAAGTTTATTAAAATCTAACTATTCACACGCATTTTCTACTGTCTGATTGCCTTATGTGTACGAGACAGGCATTACTGTTTGCACCTATTTTCTGCACTACATTTCTTTCATATTTTTATTGTATTTTTAAATATTCCTTTTTGTGCCTCGCCCATACTGTGCAATTCTGTCTTCTATGTTGAAGCCAGAGGCAACTTTAACTTTGCTAATATAAAATCCTTCTTCCCCTGTATGGCATATTCAGTCTCTCTGACTGCCTGGCTGTTACACACAGATAAGGCTTTCTATCTTTTTACCCTGTGGCTCAGTTTTTGGGTCAGTGACTCGGTGCCGCTGGTGGTTGCGACATTGCAGAGTGTGGAGGTCAAGCGGGCGGCGTGAGAGGCTTGACTTCCTCCCTAATCAGATTAATTATATCAATTCAAAACTAATGATTTTCTCCTTCATGCCTGGGAGATATCCTCAAGGATTATGCTTTAAGTCAGACCAAATTGTGATGACACATCAGAGACAATCTGAATCTTTGGCTTTGTCATGGTGTTTAATTCATGAAAGAACAAAGTGGGCCGCATGCTATAGTCTCTCCACCTTGAAATCTCTATGATTTATTTATTCTAGGAAAGGTGCTCATTCCATCACTTTCATTACTCACGTGGCAATAAACACAGCAATTTAACACCAAAACCGTTGCTGTCATCATGTCTTGCGGGAGCTTTGCTGCTGTGAACAGTTGTTAACGCTTGTATTGGATTGGATAAAATGTCGCGGTCCAACAAAAAGTCGTGTGATTTAAAATACTGCAAGGTTGCAATGGAAGCAGTAAAAAAAAAAAAGCCTGAACCATAAAATCCCACCTGTGTCGTACACAGTTTGATGACTAAAGCCCTTGAATCTATTTTGGGTCCCCCCTACATTGCCAATACCCCATACGTCTCCCTGATGTATTCCCTCCTTCCGTTTTACAGCCAATGGACGGTGTTCAGGAGAGCACCATGAAAGAGCAGCGAGGAAATGGAGGAGAGTGAACTGGAAGACAAAAACAGTTTTCCTGTGTTTGTAAAAGCCTCATTACTACCAACAGAAACTGACCAAATACAATGAAGCCTATTTTAGCTCTGCAAATAAATAAAGACATTTTTATTTTGTCTTCAAAACAGAGTAATGAATGACGTGGTTGTTGTTAAGGGGGTTTGAATCCAGTTCTTAGTACAGTAATTCTTTGTAACTCAGCCATGCTGAAGTAATTAAAAAGCAACAGTAGATGGCAGCATTGATCCAATGATGCTCGTCATGCCAACGCTGCATCAGAGGGCCTCATCTCCATGGGGATCAGCTTGTTGCTATGCACTGCGGAAGAAAGAAAATGCACAATTCAAAGATTGTCGTTGTCTTTTTTTATTCTTATGCAAAGGAGAGAATTGGATTTGATCGTCAGAGGAATATCATCCTTTCATGTTTCTCTTTTAGCCTGTAACCTACTTTCAGGTTTCCCTCTAAACGGCTCGTGGCATTGTGGTCCATGGAACTATTTCTGCAGTATTTCAATTTTTCTATTCAAACAAAAGCTCCTGAGTTACAGTCAGTGGGCCACAGGACTTAAAGTACATGTTGTGGAACTTATTGGGACAATCGTTGCTTTATTCGGTTACTGTGAAATCCACAGAATTGTTTCACTTCCCCCTCATGGTCCAAGACATTAACTTGCAGAGAACTGTTATGCCTTTTATTCTCTGGAAAGAAGTAGCGCTCAAGCAGAAAACCATTGTGCTAAATTATAGCAATTAAGCAGCTAAAAATGAAACAGCGGGACGCACTTGAGCTGAAACGCATCACATCCACCGACCACTAATAAGAGTGCAACAGTTCCATTTTCACTGGCTTTTCTGGTTGCCTACACATGAAACTTGGTCCCATTGTTTTAATTAATAGGAAAGGCGAAGACAAACGCACAACAAAATGCGAGCGGTGCTCAAGGGCGAGATGGTAGCAAAAAGTAACAGAGAAATAGGCCACAACCAGCAAGCTGTACACACTGTATGCTCACTTCAAATTGTGACCTCTGGCCTGGAGGGGTTTGGTGGGACTGGGAAGTGATGGACTGGTGGCTTAGACACATCCTTCTCCTTCACCAACGTGCACGCCGGCTTTGGGCTCTTATCCACAACGCTGCCCTTCCGCTGCCCTTCCCTCCCATTCATTAATATTCCTAATTCATGTGGAATGAAGTGATTCAGGATCATTAAACGCACATGAATATTTGTCGGATGAAAGTTTAATGAAGCCATCCCTCTTTGGTCCTGTGATGTCACACGGCGGCTTCCCATTCAAATGCGTCCAGCGCACGGTTTAACGGCTATGTGCCTTTTTTCGTAAGTGCTCTGTGTTTGAGGGGTTGTTCCTATAGTTCCGGTGACCATATGGGGATCAATCACACTTGTTTCAACAGAGGAGGGGAACCTCTTGGGCCGGGGATGTCGTGTATTATTTAGTACTGCGCACCACACACATGGGCTAGGCTCGATCTCAGATTGTGTAGGATACACACATGCTGCATACATTATGTCTCACCAGCAGTAGCAATGTGCCGGAGGTAGAATATATAATATGCATGTGTCTGGAATCCTATATGCGTCCGTCTGTTTAATGCAGTAGGAGAAGGGCTACAGTGCACACATCCATCCACGCGGCACAGTAAAGCCTTACTCATCCTCACCGAACAGCAATCAATTCCCATCACACATTTTCTACAGATTTCCTTCAAATGTTTGAGTGTGAGACTTTGGGGGGGAAATGATCGGTCCTCACGTTGTAAGTCACATGTGATGAAGTGATTTCCTCTCACACACACACACACACACACACACACGAGAGCTCATCACTGGCAGCACGCCATCCAAATTCAACCCCCTGCGAAAACCAACAGATGCAGAAATCTTCCGAGGGGTGTCCGGGGCGCTTTGTTTCTTCCCCGTCCTCTCTCCCCCTTCGTTTCAACATGCTTGTTATCCCGATAGCGCCGCTGCGTGTTGCAGCCGCCCTGACATGCTGTGACTTCATTTTCATATCTGCGACTCCCCTCTAGTGCTCCCGCCCTCAGAAAACACACACACACACACACATACACACACACATTAAGGGGGAGATCCATCATGTTGCTACATTGCTGCAGTGCTGAGTAGCACTATCAGAGCGAGAGGGAGGAGGGAGGAGGGAGGTCTGGCATCAGCCCCACACCTCAAAGCGGACTGCGGCAGGGCGTCCAAAACCCTCTTCTGCTTTTCCATCACTTAACTCATACAGCGGCCGTCCTATTCCCCCAGTTCCACGGGGGCGTCCAGTGACTAATGTCAACTCACGGTGTCTGATTAAGAGCACGGAAGCACTATCTGTTCCATTAAGGGGCGTATAAACTATTCCCTCCGCCTCCTCGCATTACCTCCACCAGCGTTCCAAAAAGTGAGTTGTCAGCACATTTCCGATGGCCAGGCCCCCCCCCCCCGCTCCCCTCTCCCCACGAAGCTCGCATGCCTGTTGAGGAGCAGAATCCTGCCCGACGCCAAAAGTGCCATATGGAGGGTGTTTTATGGCAGAGGAGGGGAAAAGGCCGTCCTAGAGGAATGACTGAGAAATAGATCCCACACAGTATGAAGCGCATCACATCACAAATCTCCATCTATCTGGAGATTTCCCCCCCCCGACTCCTCTCTGCTGCTCCTGCTGCTTTTTAAAAACCTCAAACACCTTCGGTGAAGTTAATGAGCTCTGTCAAAAAGAAAGAGCTGCTCTGTTTTTTTTTTTCCCCCTTTCTTCCAAAACTGAGCTTTCGCATTTCCCTCACTTCATTAGAATCAACAGTGGAATGTCCCATATTCCTGCTGCAGAGCAGAACATGCCCTCAGAGACAGTCAATATTACAGCTTGTAACCTACAACTTTGAGCTCAACCCCCCGAAGAAGAAAGTTTCCCCTTTGAAGAGTCTCATCACTATGGTAATCAGCTGATCAGAGGATGTTATGCCAACTCCTTGTGATGCAAATATTTGCTTTACATGCAAAACTCCCAGATTGGAACTGTGTCTCTCATGCGTTTCAGTTCATTCTGACAATTCACTGCACTGTGGCTGCCTTCAATGATGCAATTCAGAGAGGAGATATCACTCATTGGATAAATAACTCTATAGAAACAGTCAGGCCAACATCTGTAATGTCAGTGTATTGGAGAAACTTCAGAGGAACTGGAATGGGTTCGTATATTTTATAGTCCATAAAGAAATTACCCCACTTAGACGAGATAAAACAGCTGTTCTCAAATTGCAGTTGCTCCCCATCAAGTAGCACTTGAGAAGCTGAAATGTCATAATTCCACAA